TAAGATGGAGGTGACAGGGGTGAGAAATTGGATCGAGTTAACAATAGTGATGAGGAGACGTTGCTGGGGAAATATTATGGTGGGCATTTGAAAGAAAAGCTTTGAGAAAGACAGCAGAAGTTTTTCAATTACCCGACTGGCAGTGCAGTAAAGAGTAAAAGATAATGAGCTGGCAGTCGCTCAGATCAGAACTACATTGTACAGTATAATAATTATCTACACTGCACATTATAATGATGAATATCTACACTGCACTGTATAATGATGAATAACTACACTGCACAGTATAATGATGAATAACTACACTGCACTGTATAATGATGAATAACTACACTGCATATTATAATGATGAATAACTACACTGCACAGTATAATGATGAATAACTACACTGCACAGTATAATGATGAATAACTACACTGCACTGTATAATGATGAATAACTACACTGCATATTATAATGATGAATAACTACACTGCACAGTATAATGATGAATAACTACACTGCACAGTATAATGATGAATAACTACACTGCACAGTATAATGATGAATAACTACACTGCACAGTATAATGATGAATAACTACACTGCACAGTATAATGTTGAAGAACTACACTGCACAGTATAATGATGAATAACTACACTGCACAGTATAATGTTGAAGAACTACACTGCACAGTATAATGATGAATAACTACACTGCACTGTATAATGATGAATAACTACACTGCATATTATAATGATGAATAACTACACTGCACAGTATAATGTTGAAGAACTACACTGCACAGTATAATGATGAATAACTACACTGCACAGTATAATGATGAATAACTACACTGCACAGTATAATGATGAATAACTACACTGCACAGTATAATGATGAATAACTACACTGCACAGTATAATGATGAAGAACTACACTGTACAGTATAATGTTGAAGAACTACACTGCACAGTATAATGATGAATAACTACACTGCACAGTATAATGATGAATAACTACACTGCACAGTATAATGATGAATAACTACACTGCACAGTATAATGATGAATAACTACACTGCACAGTATAATGATGAATAACTACACTGCACAGTATAATGATGAAGAACTACACTGCACATTATAATGATGAAGAACTACACTGCACAGTATAATGATGAAGAACTACACTGCACAGTATAATGATGAATAACTACACTGCACAGTATAATGATGAAGAACTACACTGCACATTATAATGATGAAGAACTACACTGCACAGTATAATGATGAATAACTACACTGCACAGTATAATGATGAATAACTACACTGCACATTATAATGATGAATAACTACACTGCACAGTATAATGATGAAGAACTACACTGCACAGTATAATGATGAAGAACTACACTGCACAGTATAATAAGGAAGAACTACACTGCACAGTAAGATGTTGATGAACTACACTGCACAGTATGATGATTAAGAACTACACTGCACAGTACAATGATGAAGAACTACACTGCACAGTATAATAAGGAAGAACTACACTGCACAGTAAGATGTTGATGAACTACACTGCACAGTATGATGATTAAGAACTACACTGCACAGTACAATGATGAAGAACTACACTGCACAGTATAATGATGAATAACTACACTGCACAGTATTATGATGAAGAACTACACTGCACAGTATAATAAGGAAGAACTACACTGCACAGTATGATGAAGAACTACACTGCACAGTAAGATGTTGAAGAACTACACTGCACATTATGATGAAGAACTACACTGTACAGTATAATGATGAAGAACTACACTGTACAGTATGATGAAGAACTACACTGCACAGTATAATGATGAACTACACTGCATAGTATAATGATGAAGAACTACACATACAGTATAATAATGAACTACACTGCACAGTATGATGATTAAGAACTACACTGCACAGTATAATGATGAACTACACTGCATAGTATAATGATGAAGAACTACACATACAGTATAATAATGAACTACACTGCACAGTATGATGATTCAGAACTACACTGCACAGTATAATGATGAAGAACTACACATACAGTATAATAATGAACTACACTGCACAGTATGATGATTAAGAACTACACTGCACAGTACAATGATGAAGAACTACACTGCACAGTATAATAATGAAGAACTACACTGTACAGTATAATGATGAATAACTACACTGCACAGTATAATGATGAAGAACTACACTGCACAGTATAATAAGGAAGAACTACACTGCACAGTAAGATGTTGATGAACTACACTGCACAGTATGATGATTAAGAACTACACTGCACAGTACAATGATGAAGAACTACACTGCACAGTATGATGATTAAGAACTACACTGCACAGTACAATGATGAAGAACTACACTGCACAGTATAATAATGAAGAACTACACTGTACAGTATAATGATGAACTACACTGCACAGCATGATGATTAAGAACTACACTGCACAGTATAATGATGAAGAACTACACAGCACAGTATAATAAGGAAGAACTACATTGCACAGTAAGATGTTGAAGAACTACACTGCACAGTATGATGAAGAACTACACTGCACAGTATAATGATGAACTACACTGCACATTATGATGATTAAGAACTACACTGCACAGTATAATGATGAAGAACTACACTGCACAGTATAATGATGATTAAGAACTACACTGTGCACAGTATAATGATGAAGAACTACACTGCACAGTATAATGATGGCAAACTACACTGTAACGTATAATGATGAACGACACTGCACAGTATAATGATAAAGAACTACACTGTACAGATAATGATGAACTACACTGTACATTATAATGATGAAGAACTACACTGCACAGTATAATGATGAAGAACTACACTGTACAGTATAATGATGAAGAACTACACTGTACAGTATAATGATGAATAACTACACTGCACAGTATAATGATGAATAACTACACTGTACAGTATAATGATGAACTACACTGCACAGTATAATGATAAAGAACTTCACATACAGTATAATGATGAACTACACTGCACAGTATGATGATTAAGAACTACACTGTACAGTATGATGAAGAACTACACTGTACACAGTATAATGATGAAGAACTACACTGTACAGTTTGATGAAGAACTACAGTATAATACATTCATTTCAAAGAGGAGTTTCACTTATGTTTTTCTACTGTGCCTGGATATGAACTCAAGGGATAAGATTACATTTAGAAGTCCTTTACGTATATTTTCCTTTCTTACCAAAGGTTTTATAGTAATGCAATAGGAAATGTAAGATTGTGTATGAAATGTCACATTTTCAAATGTATATACTCTACTGGACAAAAGATTTAGAACACCTACTCATTCAAGGGTTTTTCTTTATTTGTACTATTTTCTACATTGTAGAATAATAGTGAAGATATCATAACTATGAAATAACACATATGGAATCATGTAGTAACCAAAAAAGTGTTAAAAAAAATAAAATATATTTTGTATTTGAGATTCTTCAAATTAGCCACCCTTTGCCATGTTGACAGCTTTGCACACTCTTGGCATTCTCTCAACCAGCTTCACCTGGAATGCTTTTCCAACAGTCTTGAAGGAGATCCCACATATGCTGAGCACTTGTCGGCTGCTTTTCCTTCACTCTGCAGTCCGACTCATCCCAAACCATCTCAATTTGGTTGAGGTCGGGGGATTGTGGAGGCCAGGTCATCTGATGCAGCATTTCATCACTCTCCTTCTTGGTAAAATAGCCCTTACGCAGCCTGGAGGTGTGTTGGGTCATTGTCCTGATGAAAACAAATGATAGTCCCACTAAGCCGCAACCAGATGGGATGGTGTATTGCTGCAGAATGCTGTGATAGCCATGCTGGTTAAGTGTGCCTTGAATTCTAAATAAATCACAGACAGTGTCACCAGCAAAGCACCCCCACACCATAACACCTCTTCCGCCATGCTTTACGGTGGGAACCACACATGCGGAGATCATCCGTTCACCCACACCGCGTCTCACAAAGACACCGCAGTTGGAACCAAAAATCTCCAATTTGGACTCCAGACCAAGGACACATTTCCACCGGTCTAATGTCCATTGCTCGTGTTTCTTGGCCCAAGTAAGTCTCTTCTTATTATTGGTGTCCTTTAGTAGTGGTTTCTTTGCAGCAATTCGACCATGAAGGCCTGATTCACACAGTCTCCTCTGAACAGTTGATGTTGAGCTGTGTCTGTTACTTGAACTCAGTGAAGCATTTATTTGGGCTGGTAACTCTAATGAACTTATCCTCTGTAGCAGAGGTAACTCTGGGTCTTCCATTCCTGTGGCGGTCCTCATGAGAGCCAGTTTCATCATAGCGCTTGATGGTTTTTGCGACTGCCCTTGAAGAAACTTTCAAAGTCCTTGACATTTTCCGGATTGACTGACCTTCATGTCTTAAAGTAATGATGGACTGTCGTTTCTCTTTGCTTATTTGAGCTGTTCTTGCCATAATATGGACTTGGTCTTCTGGTCCCCCCCCCCCCACCTTGTCACAACACAACTGATTGGCTCAAACACATCAAGGAGGGAAAACATCTGTCATCAAGGCGAAGGGTGGCTATTTGAAGAATCTCAAATATAAAATATATTTTGATTTGTTTAACACTTTTTTGGTTAATACATGATTCCATATGTGTTATTTCATAGTTTTGACGTCTTCACTATTATTCTACAATGTAGAAAATAGTAAAAATATAGAAAAACCCTTGAATGAGTATGTGTTTTAAAACTTGTATGTCATTGTCCTCTGACCTCATTGTTCTCTAAAATAGGTGAAAAAGCTTAATATTGAAACAAATTATCTTATTTGTCTGTTTTTGTCCACTTCCTGTCTGTCTGTGTCTGTGTGTATGTCCATGTGTGTGTACCTGTGTTTCTGTTTGTCCTTTCTTTTGTGTATTTTGTTCTGTTCTTCCCCCCGTGTGTTTGGCCCATGAAGCAGACGACAGATGACATTGTGTCTTCGGCAGAGTGTTCTAGTGATGACGAGGACCTGGAGGAGTGTGACTCTGGCCGTGCAGGTGGGCTAGGTTAGTTTACCTCTGCTTGCTCTCACACTGCTCTATCTCTCACTCCATTCACACCTGAGGATCAAGCACTGCATCCTATAAGCATCACAGCCCCATGGGACACACAAAGTGTAACTTTCAAAGATAAAAACCCAATGTTGTGAAATAGAACGAAATAGAACAAATGATGGCAAGACTGGAGATTTGTTCTGTTAAGATCTGACTAAATGACATAAAACATAATACGTACCAAAGTGGAAAATTGTGAAATCTGTCATGGACTATTCACATTATAAAATAATGATGTTGCTTTCAGAAACTCTATAAAACGTATTAGTTTGATGAGTTACACTTGCCCATGGGGTCCTCTGAAGGGGTTAACATGGTCACCAAAACACATACAAAAGTTGTCCTTTCTGCATTGAATGAGAGAGAAAAATTAAGACTTTAATATTAAGACACAAAGTTAGTATGGAGATGTGCCATGTTCGCTGCGTTGATGCTTCAAAATGTATCATACCGTGTTTGAGTCCAGTGCACTTTCCATGTGGTACTGTCCTGACTTGCATTTTGACTCATGATACATTTTGAGATTCTCTTCTTAAAGATTTGCTTTCAGTGAAATTAATGTGTGATATCTAGCAGGAATTAAAGTACTTGCTCATTTATGTGTGTTTGTTTTTTATTTGAAATGTTTCCATATATAGGGGCTTGCATTATAAAACATTTAATAGAGAACAGATATCATCGTATTTCTGTGTACAAGGTAGTTTTTGTGTGTTTTTTTTTTTTTTGCTTCAAGGTGAACATGTTATCATGCTGTCTTTTTCCAACCCAAATATGAAAAATACAATATTGAGCTAACTTGGAAGTTCCAAAACATATTCCTCTGAGCTTTTTGAGAGAACTTGGGAATTGCCTTATCTTGTTTGGATAAAATCTGAAAAGCCAGCTCTCTGTCACGGAATTGTGTCTACCAAAACACCAATATGGAATTGTGTGTACCAAAACACCAATATGGAACTGTGGATACCAAAACACAAATTTGAACCTGAAATGTTTACTTCCCAAACAAGAAATGAAAACTTTGAAGCACGTTTTGACATTCTATATCAGTACACTACAGATATAAGCCAGTTAGTCCATCAACATGTTCTAATAGCTTCAGTTATTTACATGAATGACTCAAACTGGTTTTGATTTTATTGGCTGTTTAATATGGCAGGGACACCCACCTAAGGTCCTGGCTGTTTAGTATGGCAGGGACACCCGCCTAAGGTCCTGGCTGTTTAGTATGGCAGGGACACCCACCTAAGGTCCTGGCTGTTTAGTATGGCAGGAACACCCACCTAAGGTGCTGTATAAATGCTTTTATTTGTGGCTCTAAATGAGGCCAATAAGAAGTCAAATGCCTTAATGTATCTCAGGTACGACTGAGAGACGGTTCACGCTGCTCAGCCCAAGGTGTTATCAGAACTACCTGATCATCGTCCTCTGAAAGGTCAATCCCAATTCCTCCCAAAGTTCCTGGGAGAGATAGCAGTGAAAAAGAACCCAAGTCTTATCTGTACTGTAGCCCTCTGAGCTCTCCAGGTCTCTGAAGACCGATATCGTCAGGGCCCCAGTCATCCAATCACATGTTTACACAGAAATTCACACCATTCTAACCCCGACATCAGTTGACGTGGACAGCTGCATGCTACGTGGTCTCGATATTTATTTTCCGTTTGGGGTCATCGTCGTCATTGTGGTTTTTTTTTGTGTGTGAAGCATGTGGGGGGGGGGGTTATTTAATTTTTAATACGTTCATTTGCCGTTTTGTATGTGCAGGTCTCTCTTGTATGTGCAGGTCTCTCTTGTATGTGCAGGTCTCTCTTGCCTTCTGGTTTGAGTTTGTTTTGTTTTTTGAGTCGTTGTCTTCATCTATCTGCTAATTATCTGAAGTACGACATGCCTGTTGTCTGGCCTCATCATGTGCAGCATGAATTTTAGAGCCTTTGTGCCATGAGGCTTTTTAGAGAAAACATTCCCATTTTTTTGATTATCAAAGCAAATATAAAAGGCAACAAAATATTTTCTTGCCATCAACTTTTTGGGCCTCAAGCAGGCAACCATAATGTCTAACTGAAGAAAGTTGTGAATGAAGAATGATATCTTCCTCGCCTCCTCCTCCCTCCCCCCTCCCTCTCCTCCTCCCTCCCCCCTCCCTCCCTCACCAAGCCATTCTGCATTTAAATTGATTTCAATGCAGATGACATAACAAGTATTTTATTGCCACAAAAGTATATATGCTTTCCTCTTTTGAGTTGCAGTCATTTTGTGGCATGCATTAACAGTAGTGGCTAACTCAAATTCAACCCATCCTCTTCCGGGTCATCTCTCGGTCACCTCCATCCCTTCAAAGCATGGACTCTGATTGGCTCCATCGTGTGTGTCTGACCATTCACCCCATAACCCTGCATTTAGACTAACTGGGCTGGTTTGTCTTCTGGTCACTTTGAGTTCCGCACCTATCTTTACGGTCGTAGCGACATTGCCTGTTGCGACATCGTTTCTCTCTCTCTGTCCTGCACTCGTCTGTGTTTTTGTCTGTCTCTCTGTCCGTTTGTCTGTGTTTCTGTCTTGAGGCGTCGTCATGTGACTCTGTTCTCTGTTTGTAAAACTGTTTTGTATTCCCCCTTTCCCTTTAAAGGAATTCCATAAGACAGATAACACTGGTGATAATAATTATATACATTTTAAACTACAAACATAAATTGTATTAATTTATAGGATATTAAATACCATCACACTCTATACCTACTATTCCAATGATAACTTCACGGTAGTGTTAATTTCCAGTACACTCTACATTGTCACGCGACGTGCATGCGGTCAGCGAAGTCAAACGCAGGACACAGAGCGGCTGGCAACGTACTTTACTGAACGTACAAAACAACAAACCTCCAAAACAGGGAGGAAAACACAAAGACTCGTAACACAAAGCAACTGCCGGAATGACAAAGAACAATCACACACACAATAACCAATGAGAGACAGGGGTTAATATAGGGAATACAATCCAACATAATGGGAAACAGGTGTAAACAATAAAGACCAGACAAACACCGAAACCTCGATCGGCAGCAGCTAGTACTCCGGGGACGACGAACGCCGAAGCCTGCCCGAGCAAGGTGGAGGAGCAGCCTCGGCTGAATCCGTGACATACATACCAACTCAATCACCAAAGAAAATGCAGTCCCAGTGCAGAACTGCAGCAACAGAGATATGCACTGTGGGGCCGTATTAATTATGCACTTTGGGGTCATATGTGGTGCTGTCTGTAGATTATACACTCTGTGGCCATTTAAATTACGGAATATTTTGGCATATGTTAGATATCAGTCAAACTGTGCAAAAGTGAAACCGAAACTCAACTTGACGGTTAAGAAAAGGCATTCATTCTGAGTGGTTAAGATAAGGGTTAAGGTTTGGGATAAAAAAAATAAAAAAATAACAAAACGGGTTCAATCGTCTCTCCGATGGTTACAACAACTATGTGTTTCACTCTTAAGACAATAAATTGTAATTATCACATAGAAAAGTGCAAACTCTCTCCAGAGAGTGTATTAGCTATGTGACTCGTCCATCTGTCAACATATCTAAAGGTTCCCTTTCAGTCAGTCAACTTCTGTACAACATACTATGGGGAGTCGCACTCTCGCGACTTCTGTTGAAGTATCTACAATGACGCCTGACGAGGCCAATGAAATCCCCGCCTCGCTAGAAACCCCGCCTTCCACAGGTGATAAGCTTGAGGCTCGGATTCATTCCTTCAGTTATTCCACTTCTTCACCTCGGTGTGAACGGGAACGATTCAGGCTACTCAAACAATCAATTGGAAAACAAGGCTGTCTTACGTTCCGCTAACTAAACTGTCCCACAGTGGTAGCGCGTGTTCACCCCTTGGACGTTGTGTGTTGAAGTTGGTACTTATTCTTATATACGTCTCCTAATCATGAACAATGAGAAAATTCTTCAATTTGCTGGTGCAATAAGTAAAATGGCTAACCCATAAGAGTCCGAGCCCTGTCTAAGCCGGTGGAAGGGGTTCTGAGAGCTTTAAGAAAGATCCGGAAATGTATCCCCTTTTTTTGGCACTAAACAGTCTAAGCCCTGTCTAAGCCAGGGGTAGGGGGTTCTACTAAGCTATATGGAATTGTTTTAAGAAGATCACACCAAGGATTATTTTGCTATTTGATTTGGATTTTTAATAAACCTTGAAGTATATAAAGAAAATATAAAGCAATTATTTGATAAAAAATCTTATTTGGTCTTACTGCTATTAGCGCATAATAATACATTGAATAACAGATTCACTACATGGAACAGGCCTGTGGGAATCCTAGAGCAAAACACAAACACATGTACAGTCGTGGTCAAAAGTCTTGAGAATGATACAAATACTAATTTTCACAAAGTCTGCTGCCTCAGTTTTGGTGATGGCAATTTGCATATACTCCAGAATGTCATGAAGAGTGATCAGATGAATTGCAATTAATTGCAAAGTCCCTCTTTGCCATGAAAATGAACTTAATCCCAAAAAGACATTTCCACTGCATTTCAGCCCTGCCACAAAAGGACCAGCTGACATCATGTCAGTGATTCTCTCGTTAACACAGGTGAGAGTGTTGACAAGGACAAGGCTGGAGATCACTCTGTCATGCTGATTGAGTTCGAATAACAGACTGGAAGCTTTAAACAGAGGGTGGTGCTTGAAATCATTGTTCTTCCTCTGTTAACCATGGTTACCTGCATGAAAACACGTGCCGTCATCATTGCTTTGCACAAAAAGGGCTTCACAGGCAAGTAAGATTGCACCTAAATCAACCATTTATCGGATCATCAAGAACTTCAAGGAGAGAGTTTCAATTGTTGTGAAGAAGGCGTCAGGGCGCCCAAGAAAGTCCAGCACGCGCCAGGACCGTCTCCTAAAGTTGATTCAGCTGCGGGATCGGGGCACCACCATTGAACGTAACGTTATGACTGAAAGGGAACGTAACGTTATGACTATAACTACTGTTCCCTGAAGGAGGGAAACGAGGTACAACACCTGTTTGGCCCCGCACTGCCCGTTCCCGGTCTTGTTGAAGAGCAGTATTCAACTGAAGGAATGAGTCCGAGCCTCATGCTTATCACTTGTGGAAGGCGGGGCTTCCAGCGACGTGCGGATTTCATTGGCCTTGTCAGGCGTCATTGTAGATCCTTCAACCGAAGTCACGAGAGTGCGACACCCCATAGTATGTTGTACCTCATTTCCCTCCTTCAGGGAACAGTAGTTACAGTCATAGCGTTATGTTTTTAGTTGTCCGTCTATAATTAGTGCTTCAGACTAGTCTCACCAGCAGGACTAAGGGCTGATCTAAGGAAAGTCTCTATCTTATTAAATATTCATATTTTTAGTATTGTTATTATCTTCCCACCAATCATGATATATTCTACAGTAATACTTACAAAAGCAGCCAGTTATTATAAGCCTACTTCCCCTATATTGTGCGATTATTCATTGTCATATTATGTGTGGCTGACTTTGAACCTGGGTGGTCTACGCACCGAAATACTTTGTTTGCCCGCTGAGCCAAAGCCTCCACAATAGTGGACCGACAGAAGTCACACTGCTGAACACGCTGCTGTCAGAAAAAATGAGAGGATATGTGAGGACAGAGGATTTAACGCCCAGCCGCTAAACTGTAGCAATTAAAGATAGCGTTTGACAAGGAATGTAGCACTGCTTATGGCTAGGACATCAGTCTTAAAGTAAACTGTCATTTGCCACCGGCATTCGAATGAACAACGTTTTCACAACTCTAAACTACGCCAGCAATGTTGTCAGTGTTAACGAAGCTGCCAACACAGAATTTAACTGTGTTGCTTAAAAAATTACCTGAGTTTGTTTTTTGTTTGAAGACAGACAGAATGTTGATGAGTTACTTTAGACTTCTGAAAAGACCATAGACAGAAAGTTAATTAGACAGCCTTAAAGCAAACTCTGGCCTGAATCTTACCTTGAGATATAACATGGATTTCTTGAGATGTGGGTGCATTATTAAATGTATAACTCAATGCCGATCCTCCCTTCGGCATCAATGCATGATTTGCCTCCTAGTTTATCAGACACAGCCAGGATACAACAAACACTGAGTGTACAAAACATTAGGAACACTCTGCTCTTTCCATGACATAGACTGACCAGGTGAATCCAGGTGAAAGCTATGATCCCTTATTGATGTAAATGGTTAAATCCACTTCAATCAGTGTAGATGAAGGGGAGGAGAAAGGTTAAAGAAGGACTTTTAAGCCTTGAGACAATTGAGACATAGATTGTGTATGTGTGCCATTCAGAGAGTGAACGGGCAGGACAAAATAAAACCACTGCCATTTTCATCAAACCCTCTACTTATAAACTTCAAATAACCAGTCTTCATGAGATTTCCATAGCCTCTGATTCCTTATACGTTATACTCGAAGGTAAGTAGACATTATTAGCATAGTCTTTGTATAAGATTGAAGAAAAAAACCGGTGAAACCTGAATCCAATGTGTAAAACATACAGTGGAATTTATGTTTTTGAACCTCACAATGATCGTTTTGATTCTTCAGAGCCAGTCACTGTATCAGCATTCTGTTTGTAGTGAGTGGATCAAGCGTGTTATGGGCAGCCGTGTCTTAACGCCTGTTTCAATTATCCTCTATATGGCTGTCCAGCCCCAGGTTAGGGCTAGGGCTAGAGTTGGTAGATAGTTAGTTGAAATGTTACTGATAGTCTGTAGATAGTCTGTAGATAAATAAAGTGTTACCCAGACAGGTAGTAAATCCCTGGTGAAAGACCTGGAGCAGAGGACACGCTTCTCTGGCCACGGCCTCGCTCACAGAGGTGTTAGTGAGGTGGATCAGGACTCCTCTGCTTGGGGTTGCAGTAGTTCTACATCTGTTAGGCACGGAGATGAACCCTCAACTCTCAGATTGCAGTCAGTGAAGACCAGACTATCATGTGTCATTATAAATCAGGAAGCATACTTATTTATCCCCAAAATATGGCATTATGATGGATCGCTTCCAACATATGCTTTTCTATATGTTTCTCCTCCCAAGTAGAATATCAACACTCCCAGCTTTCTGTAGCGTTTCTCTGCACCACCCAAGAGAAGCAAGCAATTCAAAACCAGCTTTACTGTTATGGACATGGTGCGAATTACGGGGGAGCCAGGGGGGGGGGGCTCAGCTCCCCTGAATGAGACTTTTAGCTCCCCTAAATGCAACAAAAGTCAAACTTTGGGGAGTCTCTAACTAATGCTAATTTAACCATTCTCCTATTTGTTTAAAATGCAGTGGTAAATATGTTTTACAGTGGTAAATGTGAAAATAAAATCTTCCAATGAAACAAACACCCCCATCTCTCTGTCATGGTTTAAACCATGTATTTCTATGTGGCTTCGCTGTCCATCCAGTAGTGCTGGATTTCGGCCTCAGGTCCTTTACACAGAACACTTCCTCATTTTCACCATTTATTTTGCATTTGCATTAGATTTATCCGTTGATTTGTCACTGTTTGCTTTTGTCAGTCAGCTTTTTTTTTTTTTCAGGTGCACGCTGGTACTGGTGTTCTCTGTGCCGTCCGTGACCAGAAGTAGTAGACCATTTATTTAGCTTTATTATTTTCTATCAATATTTGTTTTCTTTCCTGGATCAGCTGATGATGGTCGACAATATCACTAGACAACTAGCCTAGAGCTGGGCACCAGTGCGGAGGAGTATTTCTGTCTGTAATAAAGCCCTTTTGTGGGGAAAAAAACTCATTCTGATTGGCTGGGCCTGGCTCCCAAGTGGGTGGACCTATGCCCTCCCAGGCCCACCCATGGCTGTGCTCCTGCCCATTCATGTGAAATCCATAGATTAGGGCCTAATGAATTTATTTGAATTGACTGATTTCCTCATATGAACTGTAATTCAGCAAAATCTTTAAAATTGTTGCATGTTGCGTTTATATTTTTGTTCAGTATATTTTGGATTTGTGTGCTCATGAGAATTGTTTTCATGGCAAAACATTATGAAATGTTACCTACACTCTAAAAAGAAAAGTTTCCTGGAGTATCCTTTAGGGATTCTTCAAATTGAAACTGTGGGGACCCCTACAAGTTCTTCAAAGAACCCCTTTTAATGGATCCTCAAATAAACTTTTGAAGAACCTTTTGGGGTTAATTTTTGAACTACCCCCCTCACCTGTTATTATTATTATTATGATTAAACACCAAAACGTAAAAATATCACTAGAGTTTACCCACTTATTTTTTTTTTTGCACTACATTCACTGGATACAGGTAGGCCTATTTGAAGTTCATGGTAATACATATTGTAGCCTAGTCTAGTAAGATGACCGTGTGTGTTAGGGTGACCATCCTGTTTTTCCAGGGACACTTTCAGCCCTATTTCAGGTGTCCTGACTTTTCAGCCTACAAAAAAAGGTACATTTGTTGGCAAGACACATCAATTAATATAGGCCTAATCAATGACAATCGCTGAATGTCATTTTTACGTTTTGGTGTTTTGTAACAGATGTTTATTTCCATTCATCAAATGGCGCAAGTATACATGGTGTAATTCGCACTCCTCGACTGTCCGCAGTACTGTCTGTCAGTGTCCTCTGGCTCCTCCACTGTCCGCAGTACTGTCTGTCAGTGTCCTCTGGCTCCTCCACTGTCCGCAGTACTGTCTGTCAGTGTCCTCTGGCTCCTCCACTGTCCGCAGTGCTGTCTGTCAGTGTCCTCTGGCTCCTCCACTGTCCACAGTGCTGTCTGTTTTTACAAGATAAGAGCGCCTGTATCTGTCTTCCGAGTGCTTCTCAGACATTCGCTAGCTGCTATCTCTCTCAGGGAAGGGTTGTTTGACCCTCATGCCAATATTAATGTTTCGTTTGACATTACACACTTTTATGATGCGATGATTTGCATCCACAATAATTATATCTCGCTGTACACACCTCTGTAGCTGAATGACATTGACATGATGAAAATGGGTCAGAACGCCTTCGAAAATGAAGTTAAGCTCCTGGTGAAATTACAGATAATTAAATAAAACGGTCTTATTAGTGAGATCATCAGTTTAAAGTGCTTATCAGATACATTCAGTTTGCATATAACTTCAGAAAAAATACAACAAATAGTTTTATACCCTCTTGTGGAATTCCTCTGTCTATTGCTGTCTAGCTGTGAAACTAAAGGCTGTGGGAATCAAAAATCAGTAGAATACATCATTATGGGTCAATTTCATTCTTATTCTCCTACAGCCATTGGTTGAACTGCCCCCTGTACTTCTCTAACAACTCAACCGTTGATGTCTTACTTTACCTGACACCGGCATGACGTTTATTCTTTTTTTGGACTTTCCCTAAATGCAACTTACTTTAAGCATGCATCAACGTCTTGCAGTACAACCAAAAAAAGATTAACCCATTATCAGCCAGTGTGTTCTTCTCTCTGACCTACACCCAGACTGCACGCCGGGTCCATGTCTTAAGACTAGCGTAAACAGATCTATTTGTCATCCAATACCAATGACAGAGGGAAAGTCGTCACCTGACTGCTCCTCTCGACTGTCTGTTTTACAGCCTCTGGTTGTAGTGTGTGCAAATTGAAGTGGCTTTGTTCTCTCATTTTATATGGACATTTATATTTTGATAGTTTATCCGTACTTATTTTTGTATCGATACATTCAAATTGATAAATGACATTTTTATTATATATATATGATTTTTTTGGGATTACTTCGTTTACTTTACTACTGTGGTTTGGTAAACATTAGTTTTGACCACTTTGAATCAGATGTGAATATTTGGAATCACGGTTTTTATCATTTTTATAGAATCATTTAAATGTTTATCTTATTTTGGGGGATTTGGAACTATTTCAGCGAATGGACTGTGTGTTTTAGATCACTGCTAATAATCTAAAGACACACACACAAAAAAATCCCAAACATATAGTTATCCTCCATTTTGTCAAAACCAGTCCATTAAAGTTGACAAAATATTTGGTGAAGCGGTTCCAGATCCATTTGATATCTTCCTTGGGTTTTCAGATTTTTGAGAGCTATTTTGATAAACAACTTTTTTTATTGAATGATTGATTGAGTACGTATAAACCAAAATTGCATGGCTAAGAAGTTGCAGTTTAGGGTTTGTCAGACTGTCAGTGTTTAATAGAGTTAAGTTCTTCTCTGTAGATGGGCATGTATATGCTCACTGTTTGTATGTCCCCGTCCCTTCCTTACAGCCAAAAGCTCTAATGCCGCCCGACTGCTTCGTACTGCCTTTACATGGACATGGCAACTGACTTACACTATCACCCTCATCACCCTCATCTCCTCTGTAGTATGTTAATAGGCCCCTCCCCTTTTTACACTCCCCTCCCCCTCTTTAGCGATGTTAAAATATGGACAGTCATCCATCCATTCTAAACTAAAGAAGAAATACAAACTAAGCAAAAACTTTAAATTAATAGAAAGTAGATATTTATTGAGAAGCCAAAAGCGAAAACGTATAGATGTACAGTTCATTGTAAAAACTGGATTATTTATCGAAGAAAAAATTATAATTATGGTGACGTTTATTTTTCATGTTATGTGGTGTGGATGTAAGTGTTGTTCCCTCCCTGCACCATCATGTCTAAAGAAAAATTAAACAAGACGTCCAATTGCTGATTTTTGATCTATACAAAACTATACTTAACCAAGAACATTCTCACACAACTTTCTTTTGTAAACTTTTTTTCTTCATGCCAAAATCATGCGGTGATTGTTGATGTAAGTTGACAAAGACTATGTGGTTTCTTCCTTGAATAATGTTTTAGTTGGCTGATGTTTATAACTGACTTGTCTTTTTTTTACGTTTGCTTTGTACAACATGTAGCTAATCTTAATTTATTAGATCCAACTGTTCTCCTAGTTTGTCTAACATAGTGCTGTTTGTCGTAACTTGTGAGTGATAAACTATTAACGTGTTTTGCCTTGATTTTAATTTAAATGTTTTATCATTTGAAATTTGCATCAATTTGTAGTGCTTAGTGATTAGATAGTCTTGGTAGTGTACTGTATACACAAACCTTGATGGCAGTGGGATTTGGCAGCTGCAATGACAACCTGAATGTTCACCATATCCCTATGAGAACAGACCATATCTACACTCTCCTTTTAACGCTACACCAAACTCAGCATGTGATGGGATACTACTATATTTTTCTCATTTTAATCCTTTAGAAAACTATCGGGATTAGTTACCTCATACGGTATGTTGGCCTCCACACACACACAAACACACACACACACACACACACACACACACACACACACACACACACACATCAATGCACATTCTTCATCGCCATCTTCCTCTAAAATTAACCATTCTCCCTCATGTGGGGACAACATGTGTGGATTTGCAAGTCTAATTTCAACCTATTGGTTCCCAGTGCAGCCCTAAGAGAGAGAGAGAGAGAGAGAGAGAGAGAGAGAGAGAGAGAGAGAGAGAGAGAGAGAGAGAGAGAGAGAGAGAGAGAGAGAGAGAGAGAGAGAGAGAGAGAGAGAGAGAGAGAGAGATATTCTATCAGATGTAGTAGTGTACAATCAGTGTCAATTAGAAATCATCATTGACAGATTTTTCTCTTTTAATCCGCTGGATAGTCATTTGTTTATATTCACTGATTACTTACAGTTAATTAGTGGGCATATGAAAGGACCTTTTGTTTGTTAATTATTCAATATAGATACAAGGCATTTGTTGACTTTTCAGAAACGAAAAGGTGCTATTGAACGCTATTGAACCATTATTTAATTTAAAGTGCAGGCTAAATGATTTTGGTATCATTTTCACTAAAGGCCTCCTTTGCTGGGCTGAAAAAAGGAATTGAATTGAATAACCGGCTCTTGAATTTAATTGCGCAAATATAACTTGATTATGAAAGTCTCCAGTGATTCATGCTACCATACATCACACTGTGAGTTGATCACATGGTTACCTCGCAAATACACACAGATACTCACAGAGGTTTATGATACAGACACCCCTCAAGAATGTACGACACCACTCCCAGAATTGATTACCGAAACCCCTCCAGAATGATACCAGACACCCCATCCAGAATGATACAGCCACCGCCTCCAGAAAATGATACAGAAACCCTCCGAAGATACAGACCACCCCCCAGACTGAACACAACACCCCTCCAGAATGATTACAGAAACCCCCATCCAGAATGTTACCAGACACCCGCCTCCAGGAATGATACAGAAAAACCCCCTCCAGAATGATCCAGCCACCCCCTCCAGAATGATACAGGACAAGCCCCCTCCAGAATGATACAGAAACCCCTCCAGAATTGATACAGAACCCCCCTCCATAATGATACAGATACCCCCTCCAGAATGATACAGAAACCCCCTCCAATGTACAGAAAACCCCCTCCAGAATGATACAGAAAACCCCCTCCAGACATGATCCAGAAACCCCCTCCAGAATGATCCAGAAAACCCCCTCCAGAATGATACAGAAAACCCCCCTCCAGAATGATACTGACAACCCGCCTCCAGAATGATACAGACACCCCCTCCAGAATGATACAGAAACCACCCCCTCCAGAATGATACAGACATCCCCCTCCAGAATGATAGCGAACTGCCTACCAGAATGATACAGACACCCCCCTCCAGATGATACAGACACTGCCTCCATAATGATACAGACACCCCCTCCAGAATGATACAGACCCGCCTCCAGAATTATACAGGGACACTGCCTCCAGAATGGATACAGAAACCCCCTCCAGAATGATACAGACACTGCCTACAGAATGATACAGACCCCCCTCCAGAATGATACAGAAACCCCCTCAGAATGATACAGCACCCCCCTCCAGAATGATACAGAAACCCCCTCAGAATGATCGAAAACCCCTACAGAATGATACAGACACCCCCCTCCATAATGATACAGACACTGCATACAGAAGATACAGACAACCCCCTCCAGAATGATACAGAAACCCCCTCCAGAATGATACAGACACCCCCTCCAGATGATACAGACACCCCCCTCCAGAATGATACAGAAACCCCCTCCAGAATGATACTAAAACACCCCTACAGAATTGATACAGACAACGCCTCCGAATGATACAGAAACCCCCTCCAGAATGATACAGAAACCCCCCTCCAGAATGATACAGAAACCCCCTCCAGAATGATACAGAAAACCCCCTCCAGATGATACGACACCGCCTCCAGAATGATACAGACACCCCCTCCAGAATGATACGAAGAAACCCCCTCCAGAATGATACAGACACCCCTCCAGAATGATAGACACTGCCTACAGAATGATCAGACACCCCCTCCAGAATGATACAGACACTGCCTCCAGAAATGATACAGACACCCCCCTCCAGAATGATACAGATACCCCCTCCAGAATGATACAGACACCCCCCTCCCAGAATGATAGACACTGCCTACAGAATGATTACAGACACACCCTCCAGAATGATACCGACACTGCCTCCAGAATGATACAGATACCCCCTCCAGAATGATACAGACACCCCCTCCAGAATGATACAGACACTGCCTCCAGAATGATACAGACACCCCCTCCAGAATGATACAGAAACCCCCTCCAGAATGATACAGACACCCCCTCCAGAATGATACAGACACCCCCCTCCAGAATGATACAGAAACCCCCTCCAGAATGATACGAAAACCCCTACAGAATGATACAGACACCCCCTCCAGAATGATACAGAAACCCCCTAAAGAATGATACAGACACCCCCTCCAGAATGATACAGACACTGCCTCCAGAATGATACAGCCACCCCCTCCAAAATGATACAGAAACCCCCTCCAGAATGATACAGAAACCCCCTCCAGAATGATACAGACACCCGCCTCCAGAATGATACAGACACCCCCTCCAGAATGATACAGAAACCCCCTCCAGAATGATACAGACACCCCCTCCAGAATGATACAGACACCCCCTCCAGAATGATACAGAAACCCCCTCCAGAATGATACGAAAACCCCTACAGAATGATACAGACACCCGCCTCCAGAATGATACAGAAAACCCCCTCCAGAATGATACAGACACCCCTCCAGAATGATACAGAAACCCCCTCCAGAAGGATACAGAAACCCCCTCCAGAATGATACAGACACCGCCTCCAGAAGGATACAGACACCCCTCCAGAATGATACAGAAACCCCCTCCAGAATGATACAGACAACCCCCTCCAGAATGATAGGACACGGCCTACAGAATGATACAGACACCCCCCTCCAGAATGATACCAGACACTGCCTCCAGAATGATACAGACACCCCCCTCCAGAATGATACAGAACCCCCCTCCAGAATGATACAGACACCCCCTCCAGAATGATAGACACTGCCTACAGAATGATACAGACACCCCCTCCAGAATGATACAGACACTGCCTCCAGAATGATACAGACACCCCTCCAGAATTATACATACACCCCCTCCAGAATGATACGGGAACCTGCCTCCAGAATGTTTACAGACCCCCCCTCCAGAATGATACAGAACCCCCTCCAAATGAACAGACACCCCCTCCAAATGATACAGACACCCCCTCCAAAAGATACAAAACCCCCTCCAGAATGATACGAAAACCCCTACAGAATGATCAGACAACCCCCTCCAGAATGATACAAAAACCCCCCTAAAGAATGATACAGCCACCCCCCCCCCAAAATGATCAGAAACCCCCTCCAGAATGAACAGAAACCCCCTCCAGAATATACAGACAACCGCCTCCAGAATGAAAACAGACAACCCCCTCCAGAATGATACAGAAAACCCCCTCGCAGAATGATACGGGACCCCCCCCTCCAAATGATACAGACCCCCCCTCCAGAATGATACAGAAACCCCTCCAGAATGATACGAAACCCCTACAGAATGATACAGACACCGCCTCCAGATTGATACAGAAACCCCCTCCAGAATGATACAGACACCCCCTCCAGAATGATACAGAAACCCCCTCCAGAATGATACAGAAACCCCCTCCAGAATGATACAGACACCGCCTCCAGAATGATACAGACACCCCCTCCAGAATGATACAGAAACCCCCTCCAGAATGATACAGACACCCCCTCCAGAATGATAGACACTGCCTACAGAATGATACAGACACCCCCTCCAGAATGATACAGACACTGCCTCCAGAATGATACAGACACCCCCTCCAGAATGATACAGATACCCCCTCCAGAATGATACAGACACCCCCTCCAGAATGATAGACACTGCCTACAGAATGATACAGACACCCCCTCCAGAATGATACAGACACTGCCTCCAGAATGATACAGACACCCCCTCCAGAATTATACAGACACCCCCTCCAGAATGATACAGTCACTGCCTCCAAAATTTATACAACACCCCCTCCAGAATGATACAGAAACCCCCTCCAGAATGATACAAACACCCCCTCCAGAATGATCCAGACACCCCTCCAGAATGATACAAACCCCCCTCCAGATGAAAAACGAAAACCCCTACAAGAATGATACAGACACCCCCTCCAGAATGATAAAAACCCCTAAAGAATGATACAGACCCCCCTCCAGAATGATACAGACACTGCCTCCAGAATATACAGCCACCCCCTCCAAATGATCCCGAAGCCCCCTCCGAATTATACAGAAACCCCCTCCAAATGATACAGACAACCGCCTCCAGAATGATCAGAAACACCCCCTCCAGAATTATACGAAACCCCCTCCAAATGATACAGAAAACCCCCCCCTCCAAATGATGACACTGCCTACAGATGATCCAGAAAACCCCCTTCAAATATACAGACACCCCCTCCGAATGATAAAAAGCCCACCCCCTCCAGAATGTACAGACCGTACACCTCCAGAATGATACAGACCTGCCTACAGAATGATACAGACACCCCCTCCAGAATGATACAGGAAACCCCCTCCAGAATGATACAGACACAGCCACCATAATGATACAGACAACCCCTCCAGAATGATACAGAAACCACCTCCAGAATGATACAGAAACCCCCCTCCAGAATGATACAGACACCCCCTCCAGATGATACAGACACCCCCTCCAGAATGATAGACACTGCCTACAGAATGATACAGACACCCCCTCCAGAATGATACAGACACTGCCTCCAGAATGATACAGACACCCCCTCCAGAATGATACAGATACCCCCTCCAGAATGATGCAGACACTGCCTACAGAATGATACAGACACCCCCTCCAGAATGATACAGAAACCCCCTCCAGAATGATACAGACACCCCCTCCAGAATGATACAGACACCCCCTCCAGAATGATACAGACACCTCCTCCAGAATGATACAGAAAACCCCTCCAGAATGATACAAAAACCCCTACAGAATGATACAGACACCCCCTCCAGAATGATACAGAAACCCCCCTACAAAATGATACAGACACCCCCTCCAGAATGATACAGACACTCCCTCCAGAATGATACAGAAACCCCCTCCAGAATGATACAGATACCGCCTACAGAATGATACAGACACACCCTCCAGATTGATATAGACACCCTCTCCAGATTGATACAGACACTGCCTACAGAATGAGACAGAAACCTCCTCCAGAATGATACAGACACCACCTCCAGAATGATACAGAAACCCCCTCCAGAATGATACAGAAACCCCCTCCAGAATGATACAGAAACCCCCTCCAGAATGAGACAGAAACCCCCTCCAGAATGATATAGACACCGCCTCCAGAATGATACAGAAACCCCCTCCAGAATGATACAGAAACCGGACACAAATCACACAAGGGTACATGATACATCCACAGATACGTCATCAGAGAGTGAACGTTCAGCTGTCATTGGTCTGCCCTATGAGACCCTGCCTTTATGGAAGCTGTATAGAGCCATTCAAAAGGCGAGAGGCTGGGTCCGACTGGGGAGCCAGATCCTTCCGTGGGGGTTACTGACACTGTAAGGTAATCTAGCCAGTTGGGCCTTCTGTCCGTCACACATATCTTATTGTAGAATTATAAATATATCCGGGTTTAAGCCACTATGCTGCTTGTTATCCATTTTCAAATAGGGATATAGTTATTATCAGCTACATGATAACTTCAGTGTCAGATGTGAGAGAATATGATTTCAAAGGTAAATACTACTAAATCCACATTATGCTGGCTCTATTGGTTATGTATTCTTAAGTGCTTTTTTTGATTACACCTTAATGTCTGGCTCACCCTCACACCCCCTGAAGCCTTTTGAACCTTTTCACTTTTGCATTTGTTCTGTTTTCTGGCATGTCTGTTCTTATTTAAAGCTGTGTTATGTAGGTACAGTGTATGTACATGTTTATTTTGTTTAGTACAGTATCGTGTTGTGCTTTTATTGACCTCTTTTCCGTTTTGGGTGAATGTGATAGTTAGATAGATGTGTATGGTTGCCATTAATAGCTAGAAAGATGTGTATGGTTGCCATGACGTCCTTACTGCTCTCTAACATGTTTTTTGTCTGTCTCTACCTCTAGGAGGTGAATTAGTCATCCCTGTACTCTTAGAGGACCATTTAGTGCTGCCCCCCTACACCCCCTCCATCCCCCTCCCAACCCTCCCAACCCTCCGCCCACCCCTGACCATAATTGAGACTACTAAAGAGTCCCTGTCCACGGCCACTGAGGCCGGCGTACCTTGCTTGTCGGACGGAGGCAGCGATGATTGTGATGATGATGATGATGATGATGATGATGATGGCTTGGTGATATCTGGGTATGGCTCAGGGGAAGCTTTCGACTCTAACCTGCCTCCTTCTGATGATGAAGAGCTTTACACCACCTTCTCCTTGGTAACAGATAAGACCTTGTCCACGTCGGCTTTTGAAGGTGGCTACAAAGCTCACCAGCCCAAGTGGGAAACAAAGGACTTTAGACCTGACAAACCGTCCTCAGACCGCGGTAGGACTACCACTACCGCCGCGCTGCCGCTAGCACCCGACCAGAGCCGCTACACCTCCACCGCAACCCTGCACCACGCGTCACCCGCCAAGCTTCCTGCCGGCAAAATGAATAACCGCGAGCTAAAACCCCAGCCAGACCTAGTGTTGCTCCCGTTGCCCACGCTGCCCTATGAGGTAGACAGCACCAAGCAGAGGGCTCCTGTAATAACCTCCCCCATGTTCCGTAATGTACCCACAGCCCTGCCCACCCAGCCCGGCGTCGACCGAGTCCCGGGACCCCCGGAAGTGTCCCGCCAGTCTAGCAGCACCATCGGGATGGTCGTCGGGATAGTGGCGGCCGCCGCCCTGTGCATCCTCATCCTCCTGTACGCCATGTATAAGTACAGGAACAGGGACGAGGGCTCCTACCAGGTGGACGAGAGACGGAATTACATCACCAACTCGGCCACGCAGAGCAACGGAGCCGTCGTCAAGGACAAACAGCAGAGCTCGAAAGGCATCAAAGGAAAACAGAAAAACAAAGACAAGGAGTATTACGTTTGAGTGGCGGACGTTGCGAGATGAAAAGAGAGAGGGAAATAAATATAGAACTGTATTTAACAGTTACCTTCTAAGGAGCTGCGAAGACAAAAAAATTGTAAAATTGGAACTGTTACTTGATGCTGTGTAGAGTGGTTGAACTATGACATGTTTTGTAATATAAAGCACACTTACTATTGTAAGCATACCGAGAAGGCTAATAGCATCTTTAGAGACCTTGCTCTTCTATCGGGTAGGTGTACAACCACTTCACAGCTACTGTATCATTATCCTAAGTGACTTTTAGAACCTGTACAAAATGGCGATGTTCCTTAATCTTGACCATTTCCAGCATGTAAGCAACATGTAGTGCTTAACAAGAGTGGGTCAGGATAGAAGGGATCATTGTAAAGTCAATGGAAAAAATGGACTACTGCCGTAAAAAGATTTGAGACATTTCTATTGTTTGTATGGTTTCTACATTATAAAAGTGTGGTGTCTACGCAAAATAAATAACATCTACTACTGTATGTATCAAATGAAACCAAGAGAGCTCAAATGGCTAAGGACAGATCTCTTAGGATCTCTTCAGATCTCATAACTCTGTCATCTGATCTCGACATGATTACTCTCATTGTGCCAGTATGAAAAATGTATGCACTCACTAACTGTAAGTCGCTCTGGATAAGAGCGTCTGCTAAATGACTAAAATGTAAAATGTAAAATTGTGTGACAGATGGACGGACAGAGTGACACTGACGTGTGATCCTGGCGAGAAGTGGTTGCTTGTTCTTATCTCGGTTAAAAGCAACTGATTGTAATGCATGCCCATCCTACCAAAACAGTACACTACAGTCCAGTACAGTACAGTACTATATATTGTACAGTACAGTACAATATATCAACGTTGCTTGAATAGTCCAGTTCTCTCCAAGGCCAAATGTTATACTTCGTCATCGTCAAGACTACACAACTCTTTTGATTTTATTCCCTAAAAACATCAACAATGAAAATATGATTTTCCCTGAAGATAAAAAGCTGTGTTGGTTCGCAGTCGTGCTGGTTGTGTCTTTTGCAGGCCTCTGTGTGTTGGTTATCCGCCTCTTGTTCTATTTTCTATGGAGCTGTCCCATCGAGGACAGAATACAGTACTATAACACTGTTAAAGATTCAAACAGAATAATCTAACGAAAAGTGTGAATCTATCGGTGTTTGGCAAACAACAATTTGGTCAAATACTTGGGAGTGTACTAGCATTAAACCCCTTTTTTTAGATATTTGTATAAAAATTTAAAGAAAAAGTTTTAAAACCCCAAAAAAATATTTCCCAAAAAAAAAATTACCCCCCCAAAAAAATTTACCCAAAAACCCCCTTTTTTCCTACCAAAAAAAATTCCCAAAAAAAAACACCCTCCCCCAAAAAATTTTTCCCCCTTTAAAAAACCCCCCATTCCCTCAAAAAAATTTTTTCCCCAAAAAAAAACCCAATTTCCTTCCTTCCCAAAAAAGTTTATAAAATTTAAAAAAAGGGGGCCTTACCCCCCCATTTTTTTTTCCTCCCCGCAACCCCCCTTTCTTTAAAACCCCCCAAAATATCCCCCAAAAAAATTTTTCCCAAGGAACCCCTTTCCCTCCCAAAAAAATTTCCCCGAAAAAATTTTTAAACCCCAAAAAAAAAAATTTAAAAATTTTTTTTACAAAACTTTAAACCCCTTAAAAAACGGGCCCCCCTCAACCCCAACTTGACCCATAAAAACCCCCTAACCTTTTAAATTTTTTTACCCCAACTTACCCCAACAAAAACTTAAAAAAATTTTTCCTAAACCAAATCTTTCCCCTAAAAATTAACCCAAATAAAATTTTTTTAAAAAAAAAAACCCTTTCCCTAACCATCCCCAAAAAAAAAAACCCCCCTTTTTGTTCCCCAGGTATAAAATTTCCCCCCCCAAAAAAATTTAAGGTCTCCCTTTACCCCAAAAAAAATTTTACCCCCAAAAACTAAAATAACCCATATAAAAAAACAAAATTACCCACATAAAAAAATTTCCCCCACCATAAAAATTTCCCCAAAAAAAAATTTTTTACCGCAAAACCAATTTTTCCCCTAAAAATTTCCCCCCCAAAATTAACCCATTAAAAACTTTACCCCCCCCCCAAAACCTTCCCACTAAAAAATTTCCCCAAAAACTTTACCCCAAAACAGACTTTCCCCGAAAAACCCCAAAAACCCCACCCCCCTTTACCCCCCCACCATAAGATTTCCCCCAAAAAAATTCCCCCCAAACTATTTCCCTCAAACAAACTTTACCCCCCAAAAATTTTTCCCCCCCAAAAAAAATTTCCCCCCACAACCAAAATTTTTCCCCAATAAAACTTCCCAAAAAAATTAATTTCCCCAGAAAAATTTCCCCCAAAAAATTTCCCCAAATAAAAACTTAATTTCCCCCCCCCTTTTAAAATTTTCCCCCCCAAAAAAACTTTACCCCACCCATAAAACAAACCCCCAAACAAAAACTGTTTCCACAAAAACTTACCCTAAACCCCATTTCCCTTTACCCAGTTAAAAAACTAACTAACCCAAATTTTTCCCCCAATAAAACAAAAAAACCCCCACCAAAATTTTTCCCACTAAAAAGACTTACCTCACCCAAAAATACTTCCCCAAATCAAAAAACTTCCCTCCACCATAACAACCCGTTCCCCCCTTAACCCCAACACCCAAAAACGCCCTCAAAAATTTCCCCAAAAACCCCCTTTAAAAAAATTTTCCCACAAAATTTACTTTCCCGCCCCCCCCCCCCCAAAAAACCCCCCCAAAAAAAATTTACCCCCCCAAAAAAACCCCCCCCTAAAAGTTCCCCCCCATAAAACTTACCCACCCTAAAAACTTACCCACCCAAAAACTTTCCCCATAAAAAACTTTACCCACCATAAAACTTTACCCCTAAAAATTTTCCCCAAAAACCCTTTTCCCCGGTATAAAAAACTATTACCCCCCAAAATACCCCCAAACAAGAATTACCTCCCCCAAATAAAAACGTTAACCATCAAACAAGACTATTACCTCACCTAAACATCTTTCCCCAAAAAAAACAGAAAATTTCCCCCCAAAAATACTGTTCCCACAAAACAAATTTTCCCCCCCCCCAAAAATTTTTCCCCCGGTATAAAAGACTCAATTTTAGGGGTTTTGTTATCTCTTGTTTCATTTTATATTTCCTTTAGTCTCTTGAACATTTAAATCTTTTTTGCCAGGGTTTTTAGCGTTTTGTACAGCATCATGGATTTTCCATAAAACTATCAGTACCACTTTTTTCCTTGGGTTTTCTCGCCACACCCCTACAGGGACACGTCTTTAAAAATCCAGGCCCATGTACGGTGTTGTCCGACGGAAAAATACCACTCCCCTCCACGGGATTCTCAACGGATGGCCTTTCACTTTTTGTCGTAAACCTGAGAGAGAGAGGGGGGGAGGGGGGAGAAGAGCGGAGAGAAGGGGAGAGAGCGAGAGAGGAGAGAGGGGAGAGAGAAGAAACTAAAAAAGCCAGAGGGAAAAAGAGAAGGAGGGAGAAGGGGGAGAGAGAATAAAAAGAGATAAACGAGAAAGAAGGAAAAGAGAGAAAGGGGAAAGAGGAGACCCCCGGACCCCTTTTTTCCCCCCCCGGGGGGGGGGGCCCCCCCGGGGCCCCCCCCCCCGGGGCCCCCCCCCCGGGGCCCCCCCCCCCCCGGGAAAAAAACGTAAAACGAAAAAAAAAGAAAAAGCGAAAGATAAAAAAAAAAAAAGGAAAGAAAGAAGATTTCTTTAGCTGAATCCCTTTATAAACCTTTTTCCCTTTAAGAACAGAGCCCATGTTGGAACGAAAAGAGCACAGTGATTGGAGACTGAAGAGAGCCACAGTGATTCAGAATGCCTGTCGTTCATTCATCATATCATGCTATGTGATCTGCTTTTTATCTTTACTCACCTCACAGTTTGATGGAGTTAAAAATGTGGATATATTTATTTTGGTTTTTCACTGATACCCGTGGTCCTTCCTTTAGAAGTGTCCATATACGCAGAATAGGGACAGGATTCAATCTGATCGCTCCTTTTCGACCATGGGCCATTTAAAGGCAATGTTACCGCGCTCGCAGAGATCACAAGTGCACGCTTCAGATGTGGGCTCAATCGGAAATTACCTTAATATTTCATCCATGCTACAACACGGATCTTCCCCGTTCCAGATTGTATCTAGGCCCGAGGTTTGATTTGGCACTAGACAGGACCATTCTCTCGTTCCCCCATCCTACCTGATGTAAACTCTCTCGGCCGCAACTACCCATCTCCCCTTTCCCAGTCTGAAACCCCTCTCTGATTGGCTGTATTGATCCAGGCCTACAGCAGTAGTTTCTCCCAGGTGATGAAGCACACAGAGCGATAGAACCCTGAGTGAACCTGCTCACTTCACCAAGACTACCCACAAACCACATTCAGCTTGAGTTAGGATCTCAAGTTAGGATTTAGCCCTTAGAGAGGAAGTGGGAAATACTGATAGATTTGAAAGACATGCCCCTAATTGATATTTGTGAGTTTATTTCTGTAGAGAGAGAGAGAGAGACATCTGTTTGCTTTAAGAGGGGGAGTATGTTAAAATGGAGAGAGTGGGTAGGGGGAGAGGAGGGGGTAAAAGAAAGAGGGGAACACACTTTTCTTCAGACTCGGTGAAGCGGCAGAGACTACGCTTGTCCCTGGAGCTTCGTCTCCAAATGAGATGTCATATTTTGTAGGTACACACAGCTCTCTGATGCTAACATGAAAGCCAGGCAGAGATGAACTATTCCACACAGGCAGAGATGTTGACTGAGACAATTTCATCTCCACCGCAATCACAGACGTCGCACTGTGGCTTTTATATAACTCAGGTGAGTGTGTCAGCATGTGTTAGTGTGTGTGTCGGTGTGTGTCGGTGTGTGTGGATTGCCAGGGATCCTGTGAAAATGGTTACATTAGTCATTGGCTGAGCGGTAACGTTTTTCCAAAGCTT